AGCAACAAAGACAACAAAAATCAAGCAGCACAAGTCATTACTAATTCTGACTATTAATATTCTTTTAATATTCTTTTTGTGACATGAGTCTTACTATGTCACCTAGGCTGGCCTCAAACTTCTAGGCTCAAGCAATGCTCCTGCCTCAGCCTCTCAAACAGCTAGCCTATAGGCATGCACCACTGTGTCCAGCTTCTTTTAACATAAGTTCATACAGAGAAGGATCTAAGGGTCTTATCTTTAGTGAACACTGAAAGATAGGAAAAATGCCAAAAATGATAGCTTGATGTATTCTAAAAATGACAGCATAATTTACTCTAAGTTAAGTGTAAGCACTTACAAGAAGAAAGCCCTCAAATGGCTGGTGAGTAACTCAAAGCTCCATTGATTGGCTCCTTGTACGCCATTCCTCAAATATATCCACACTGATATTCAGCCACTATGTTAGAATTTACTTTATTATAAACAAATAAATTTTTAAAATATCTTTATTTCTATTTATTTATTTTTATGTGGTGCTGAGGATCGATCCCAGGGCCTCATGTGTGCAAGGCAAGCACTCTGCCACTGAGCTACAACCCCAGCCCAACAAATAAATTTTTAAAATATCCATACCCTTTCTATTCTATTCTTTCTATTCTAGAACTAACTAAACACATAAATTTTATTCATGGCTAATCTCCATCTTGCTGTTGCTATGTAAACTTAATACAATTTCTTTTAAATACAGATCACTGAGTACTCCTCAGATGCATATAGAGATAGTGTTTCTGAAGTCTATCTATTATTCCTTGACCAACTCACTAACACAAATCTGGTACTTACCAACAGCTTCTTACAGTAACCAAACCACCGACTTCCATCTTCACCAGTCAAGACAAAGGAAAATGTTTCACTGAAAAAATAGCCAATAGTTATTCTGAGATAAAAACAACTGCTTATGACATTCCTCGTGGAACAAACAATTGAAAATTAGGGTTCAACAGCAGTCATTTGTGATATTAAAGGAAGCATTAATATTACATTTATTTCAAGTCACACTCCTCCTGAGGAATGTCCAGGCCTTGAGAATATCTTGCCTTGTACTGGAGTAAGCAAATGGGTGTAGGATATGCTATTGGTGCTGTTGTCCCTTCTAATTTTTTATTTATGCAATCTAGATATGAATCAATCCATTTTTATTTTATTAAATGTCCAATTTAGTCAGATATACAGGTAAGTGATAAAGGATTTCAATATGCCATTTCTCTCTTGCAAATTCTTCTATTTAGCTGTGAGAGGCTACATGGAACAGTAATAGAAAAAAAAA